GACCTTTGTCGCATATTTTGAGACTCAAATTTCTACAAGTATAAAAGTTTTGAGGTCAAATTTTGGTGGGGAATATATGTCTCATGAGTTTCATGATTTCTTGCACCAAAAAGGAATTGTCTCCCAACACTCCTACCCTTATACACCACAGCAAAATGGCGTAGCGGAACGAAAGAATCGCCATCTTTTGGATGTTGTTCGCACCTTATTGCTTGAGTCCACTATTCTTTTTAAATTCTGGGTTGAGGCTTTGTCTACTACAGTTTATCTAACTAATAGACTATCCTCTTATGTCTTGAACTGTGATTCTCCATATTATCGTCTTTATCATCAACATCCGAGCTACCTTGATATGCATACTTTTGATTGTGTTTGTTTTGTTCATTTATTTTCTCATAAATATCACAAACTTTCTGCTCAGTCTGGTAAATGTTATTTTATGGATTATAGTATTTTGCACAAAAGCTATGTTTGCGATGATCCATGCTCTAATAGATTTCGTATTTCTTATTATGTTGTTTTCTTTGAGAACCAACCCTTTCTTTTCTACACATGTTGAGTCATTGCCTGAAATTAGTGTTCTTCCTCATTTTGATGACTTGACTCCTTTTTCCTAGGTTGTTCAAACCTGGATTTGTGTATGAACGATGTCGACTGAATTCGCCCCCTCACGAGACTGACCCGTCATCTAAAGACTATTCAATCGACTCTTCTGGAGTCTGACTTGCAATCTGAGACTAATCTGATTGCTTCTTCCAAGCCTAACACAACTCCCAAGTCTAGTCTTAGATGCTCTACCAGAGTTTCTCATCCTCCTGATTGGCATGGTTTTCATACTTCTCTTGATGTTACTTTGTCTTCTACTCCTTGCCTCCCTGCCCTTCTAATCTTAATCAATTAGCTGCAAATGGATTTATTATCGCTGTAAGGCAAGGTTGGTTGCATTTGGTAACAGGCAAGAGTATGGGGTGAACTATAAGGAGACATTTGCTCCGGTGACAAAGATGACTACGGTGCGTATTATTCTTTCCATTGCAAACTCCCAGGGCTGGCCACTTCACTAGATGGACATCAAAATTACTTTTCTTCATGGTGATCTCAAGGAGGATATTTACATGACACCTCCATCGAGTTTGTTCTCCTTTCCTTCTTCAAATGTGTGCAAGTTGAAACAGTCTCTTTATGCCTTGAAACGAGATCCCCGAGCATGACTTGAAAAATTTTGGTCTACCTTGATTTGATTCTCATTTGTGTAGAGCCAATATGACTCTGTTTCTTTGCAAAACCTCTACTAATCTTATCCTCCTACTTGTTTATATGGATGATATTGTCATTATCGGAACGGATTCCTTATTGATTACCCAACTCCAACAACATCTTCAAGATTCCTTTCATATGAAGGATCTTGACCCTCTTATATATTTTTTAGGGTTAGAAGTTCATATCAATTCTTCGAGTATAATCGTGAATCAAACACAAATATATACAAGATTTAATTGCTTTGGATGGACTTTAAGATTTTACTTCGGTGGTGTAGAGGCAGAAAATTGGTTATACCTCTATGTGAATTTGTGATACGATTTCTGGGAATGAGTTCTGAACAATCTCCTTAACTCTTTCCTGCAAAACGAACAAATTGCCCAAGATCAAAGTGCTTCGATTGAAAGCACTTTGATGCTTAAGTCAGTAATGGAACAGAAAGAATTAAACTAAGTCTAGGAGAATTCAACGTACCTTTCACCTTGGTCTCTTATGCTTTTTATAGATTATTATCCCCTTAGGGTTTCCACGATTTTAGGTTCGAGGTGGCACACCCTCCTTTAATTCAGTAGTTGAGTTTGGGAAGTTATTGATACTTCTCCAACAATTTCTCTTGATATCTTTAATATCATTGATTTTGTTTATCTAATTGCCTAGATTTTAGGCGAATATTTAACTTTCTATCTATCGTTTTGAACAGCTTGGACATATTGAATACCGAGCACACTTGACATTTTTCGAACAGATCAAGAAGCTTAGTTTGGTACAAACTGATTTCTTCAATCGTTTTGCCGAACACTTTAACGGACTCGACTTGGTACAAGCTGAGCTCCTATCCTGCTTATCTGGACGGACTGATGAGTTCGGCCATCAAGAGAACCTAATTCTTACTTTGTTTGTCGAATGAACTGATTTGTTCAGCTCGATTAGAAAACTCTTAATGGAAGATCCTTTATCACGTAGTTGGTCTTATCAACATCACGTGAGCACATTTAATGCTATGTCACGTGTAATCATCAGGTTTAACCCCTTCAGGTCGATACTCCTCTAGAAATAAATGTGAAGTACCATAATGAGGAGGGTGATCTCTTTCCTGATCCTACAGTGTTTCGATAATTGGTTGGCAGCTTGAACTACTTGACTATTACACAGCCTGATCTCTCTTTTGTTGTCCAACAGGGTAGTCAATTTATGCAAACTCCATGTCATCTTCATTTAGCTGTTATTCGTCATATCATTCAGTATTTTTGAGGATCTCAGAGTCGTGGATTGTTCTTTCCTACTAGTTCTCCCCTTTGTCTGATTGCTTTTAGTGATGCTGATTGAGCTAGGTGTCCAAATACTTGTCGTTCTATTACGGGATGGTGTATGTTTCTTGGCAATTCCTTGATATCCTGGAAGAGTAAAAAGCAAGCTCATGTTTCTAAATCCTCGACTGAGTCTGAATATCGTGTGATGTCTACAACTTTCTCTGAGATTGTTTTGTTTCGTGGGCTCGTGGCTGAGCTTGGCTTCTCTCAGTCTAATCCCACTCCTCTACACACTGACAACACGAATGTCATTCGGATTGTTTCTAACCCAATTTATCATGAGCGTACAAAGCATATTGAAAAGGATTGTTACTCTATTCAAGAAACCGTGGACACTTGTGTCATCTCTCTTCCGCATACTTCCATCGACCTTCAAATAATTGACGTGTTTACCAAGGCCATAACTCAGCAACGCCATTATTTTCTTATAGGCAAATTGATGCTTCTTGATGAACCAATAATTTGAGATTAGTTCCACTTCCTATTAGATCAAGGACAGTTGAGTGTAAATAAGTATTCACTATTAAGCAATAGGCTGATGGGATCATAGTTATTAGTATCGCACGATACGCGAATGTATCATACGATATGTCACGATACACCTGAAAAACAATACGCATTATGTCTTTGTATCGTTTTTGCATCGTATCGTACGATACACCCGCTACGTACAATATATGATGATTCTGTTTGTTTATTTTTTTTTGTTTTATGGGGTTGAAATAATATCGTTTTACTCTAAGACTTATTTTTAAATCACCTAGAGCTTGGTTTGACATGTTTCTAAAAGCCATGTTGAAATTAAGATATAAATAGAATCATGTTGATCATACAATGTTCATAAAAAAGGTAGATGACAAGATAACAGTTCTCATTGTATGTGTAGATGATATAGTGATAAATAGGAATGATGTGCATGAAATCGACAAACTAAAAGCTCATATGGCTAAGGAGTTTGAAATCAAAGATATGGATTCATTAAGACACTTTCTTCGAATTAAGGTTGCCAAATTAGATAAAGGCATTCTTATCTCCCAAAGAAAATATGTTCTTGATATCCTCAAAGAAACAATACATTGAGACAGTATGTTCTTGACATTCTTATCCTATCGAAGTCAAACATCGACTAGGTAGTGATGTTAGTAATGTTGTGGACAAGGAGAGGTACCAGAGATTAGTAAGAAGATTGATATATTTGTCTCATATGCAGTGGGGGTTGCAAGTTAATTCATGCATGATTTCGAACACCTCATCTTGAAGTTGTTTAGCACCATTTTCAGTATCTCAAGTCAGCTCCAGAGAAAGGGATCTTGTTCTCCAACAATTGACATTTGAAACTTGAAACATTCACCAATGCAAACTAGGCAAGTTCAATGGATGACAGAAAATCCACTTCGAGCTATTACACCTTTATAGGAGGAAACATTGTCACATGACGAAGTAAAAAAGCAAGCAATGGTAGCAAGGTTGAGTACAACGGCTGAATACAGAGCATATATGGCTCCAAATTTTTTTAGGCTAGCTCAGAGTTCATGATGGTGAACCTATGAGATTGTATTGTGATAATAAGGCGGCTATCAGCATTACACACAATCCAATTCAACATATTAAAACAAATATGTCGAAATTGATTGACACTTCATCAAAGAGAAGTTGAACTAGGGTTTGATTTGTAGGTCCTTTTTGAAATTAGAAGATCAGTTAGGCAAATATTTTCACAAAGGGGCTTAGTAACAAATTTTTTCATCCTATCGTTTTCAAATTGAGCGTGAGAGAAATCTATGTACCACCATGAAGGGGAGTGTTATGTTATGTATTCCTAGCATAAGAGAATGGGATGTAGTTGTGCAACCCTAACACAATACACTCTTCTCTTATTCTTAATCTTCTTCTCTTCCTAATCCTAATTACTCCACAATCTAACTAAGAACAAACATAAATCACATGGACTATTCTAAATGCATCCAGTATCCAAGTTGGGTAGTTCAACACCAAGCCTACCTAACAATCGTGTGTAAAAGACAAGTCCATCTTGCAGTTATCAAAACACCCAATCATCGTATTGCCTAATTGCTAGTCAAGTGGAGTAAAAAACCACAAAAAGTACACCGAGAAAGAACTTGTAAGCACAATATATTGAGTTGGATCGTTCTCTAAGTTAGTCAAAAACAACCAGAGCAATGAAGAAAGTTATTTGGGCTCTTGCAAGAAAACTAATACCGACAAAAAGGTCAATAAAAATGTTAAGATCATTAGAAATGGAAAACTAATTATCATTCACAAAACAATAATTGAAAAGATTAAGGAAGCTTCAAACAGTGTGTTGAGAATAACATCATTATTTTAAGCTCCTTTAATCTTTTAGTTTAAGACAAAGTGCTACAATAGCTAAAAAAACAGCGAAGAAACAAAACTACCAAACCAATAAATTCACGAGAAGTTGGAAATGGCATCAAACGATGACCAAGGTGTGAGTAAGTCATCAAAGATGACCTAAGAAGTTCAGAAAACCAATTAAGGAGAAGGGATGGTTTCAAGTTGTGGGGAGTGCAAGAACAATATTGAGGTCATAAAAACAGGACATGACAGTTTAAGATTCAATGCCGACTCTTCAAGACGAAACCTAAGTAATTGGGATTTAAGGCTTCGGTTAGTGTTACCTTAAACTGTGCACCACAAATTCAAAATATAGAATGCTCTCACATAGATATGAATTTGCCAAAACTAGCCCATTTGCATGGAGAATACCGTTAACGTATTGCTTAATTCAGTTAGACTATATTTTTCTTATCTCATTCCCATAGCAAGCCCATTATGAACTTCCACAAGTTGATTCTAATTTTGATAGAATTGATGCTTAACCTAAAGTTAGTAGTGAGTTGCACAAGGCATAACTACTCACAAATTAGCACCCTCACCATATATTGATTAGACATATGTTTCAATCGTTTGAAGCTTGCAAGTGTCCACATGGGAACAACATGAATATGGCTGTCCTGTTCATTTAATGTGAACCACTTCATATCTTCCTCAGGGATCCCCAAGCATTCCAAACACCGGAGTTTTGCTGCAGTGACATAGACTTTCTTACGGAGAGCACGAGCAACCTCTACAAACAACCTTTCTTTTCCTGTCCTTGAACAAAATTGAAGAAGATAAAGAATAATGATCTTCTGTGAGAGACTGAAAGCATCATGCAGTACAAACTCTGGGATGAGGGGAAAGGCATATATATATCAAGAGAGAGAGAGAGAGAGAGACTCTACCAATCGTGTAGCTACCAATCAAAAATAAAGTCTTTGGATTAAAAGCTTCTGCTTGGATGGCTTCAATGACAAATTGAATTACAGCTTCCTGCTTTGGAAAGTCGTACTAAGAATAGCACATAAACTTATATTAACTTTCAATTGTCATCATATTAGAGAACCAACAGTCTATTACATTAAAAACATACACCAACCAGACGCACACAAAAAAAACCTTTCTGTTTTACAAGTATAACACGCACACAGTAGTGGAGCGAGAAATTATGTTTAAGGTGGGCATTTTACTTAGAAATTTTAATTTTTTTTCTCCCAATCAATAAAAATAAAATAATATATTCAAATTTACTATATTGTATTCGATACTTAAAAATTCATAAAATACAAAAGGGTCAAACGTAGATAAATATAGCTTAAATAAATAAAAAAACAAAAAAAATAAAAAAGAGAGACTAGTTATAACCCTTCACAACAAATGAGACTAACTGCATAAAAGATATTATAATATTTCTCTATATATACAATCAAACTATTAGTCATTGATCACTCATTCAATTAAGCAACCTAGTTACCATAATCTCTATAGCTTCTTTTTTTTTTGAATTGGAATCTCTATAGCTTAAAAAAAATGAGTTTGACATGTCAAAAACTTATATAGATGTATCCATAAAGTGTCCAAAGTGTGTCCAAAAATTCATAATTATTTAGGTGCAGGGACTATACTAATTTAAAGAACAAAAAATGATAGAGATGGCATACTTAAATTCTTCAAATTATTTAAAATATACATAAGTAATATTTTTTTAAAAACAATTGAGGGTGGGCCTGTGCCCCCCCCCCCCCCCCCGGTCCTCATGTAGCTCCGTCCTTGTATGCACATGAATACTAGGCTCCTGAAAGTATGAGGAAGAACTCAACTCAATAGAAACAATATGTCAGATTTTTCTTCACTAAATTGACTAGTGCATGCACATAATAGAAGTCTATTTGGCTTTAAGCAAGAATTGCAATGTCAAAGCAAGAGAAAACTGCCTAAAATTAGTTTAAGTAACATATAAAGCACCCACCAGTAGATGTCAGCTAAGAAGCAACGACACAGACTTCCACTCATGTATCCATGTCTGGCACATCTGGGACACTGACAGTGCCTAAATCTTTGTATTTTTGTAATTCGGACACAGCAGGACACTTTCCAGCAGACACATTTCCTTGCAGCTCATGTGTAATAAACTTTCCAATTGAAAAAGTAAATCCTCGTTTTACGCTGATTAAGGGGTCCAATGAAGTCATACCAAAATTGAGGTGATTGCTTTGAATTGGTCAAAGACTTGAAATCTAAATTTAGGTGTACTTAGTCTAGTAACTAAAGGGAGGAGTGAATAGGTCCATAACCAGAGGTCAAAATTCTATAACTAGAATTTTAAATGCAAAGACATGCCCTAAGGACAAGCTCAACAAGCCAATCCCAGTTAGAACTTTGACAGCAAATCTAGGAAAAGCTCAGTACACATTAATGCTTTTCTATATATTTGATACCTACATATAACTTAGCAATTCAACATACCTACGCTTAATTTCTACCCTGGGATTGGGATTAGGCTGTTTCACATTGCAAGCACCATGGGGTAGCTTTCACCTTTAAAAAGTTGGGTTTTGCATTACGATGGTTGTAAGGTCGACTCATAGTGTCAGTTTGCTTAAAGGCTAGGCTCTCAGAAGAAAGGTGGCTTGAATAAACAGACTTACCTGCGGGTCACAATAAGTGGTATCCAATATGAGAGTATGAATAGAACACTTCTGCAAATCAGAGATCTTTGCAATTTCCTCACTAAAACGAAAATCCCCCGTGTGTAGAACAGCCTAAATGTGGGAAGAAACCCAGCATCAAGTTCAGAAACGATTGCAAGGTAACACCAAAATTTAAATACAAACATTAGTATGATGAGTTAATTCAGACCGCACCTTACCATTGAGTGGTTCGAAAAGTAATATGATGGAACCTGGGCAGTGATTTGCATCAAAGCATGTCACATTAACTCCGGCAATGCTGATCTTTTGGTTGAGGGGTAAAATTTGTAATTTGTCCCATGGGATCCCAATTTTTAAATTCACTAGTCTTGCTGTAATGGAGGAGCAATAGATCTTCCCATGGCAGAAGGACCTTGTAAGGCCTTGATAATCTGCGGAAGCAAATGCAACACAGAAATTCAGTATTATCAGTCTTATGGAAATGCAAAGAAAATAAAGCTGGCAAGCAGGAACACTGGAGGTAATAACAAAATTCAAGCAATTATTAAAATGACAAATACTATAAGAACCATGAATCAAATGGGAACCATGAACCTTCATCAAGTGCTTTAGGGCACTTACAACAGATATTATATATAGCTTACGCAAGAAACCAGCTTTCAATGGTTCGAAAAAATTGTTACAATCATTCATCTAAATTTTCCAATTAGTTCCCCAATGTGATCTGCAAAAGTTAACCTCAATGAAGGTCACCACAGAACTGCAGTGACATTGGTATGTATTGTTCATCCTGGATGTCAAATTCAGGCCCCATAGCACAACACTTCTCTATTTGCAGTGAAGAGAATGAACTGCTTCAAAATAACGGCAAAGGAATGAATCCCAAAAATTGAACACTTTAAGAAACAAAATACTTTTGCACATTCATTAAAAAATAGTTTGCATGACATACAAAGATAACATGCCATTTGGATTGTTCGCATCAGAGCATCTAGAAGTAGATAACCTTTTGTAGTACAATTAGAACCAACTCATGCATGGCAGCCAGTGCACATGATACGTTTGGAAATCAAAAGAATGTTATTTCCTCATCCCCTTACCTCGATATACGAATGAAAATATAGGGTCAATTTCATCCACACCCCTAACATTTGATTTTATTAGATGGACATTCCCTCACATTTTGAAAATGATACTGAGACTCCAATAGGTGAACGGCATTAACATAATTACTAAAAAGACTGTTTTACCCTTAATTAATTGATCAAATCCATCTCCAAATCCAAACTCATCACCCCGCGACTTGTGACCCAAAACCCTATGTTGTGCTTGTGTGGAGAAGAAGCATCATGTACGGTAATAGGGCAAATAATTATCGAATTACAATTAATTTGATTTGATTAAATAATTAACTTGTAATTATAATTAATCAGGTAGAATTAAATAATGAATTTATTGAAGTATGATTACTGTGATCATTAATTATAAAAGGTGTTTAATACTGAATTATTTTTGTCCTAAATATAGATATTTAACAATATATTAGTGTAATAAACTGTTTTGATTTGTTGTATCATTACTAGTCAAAATTATAAGTTGTGTACAAAAGGGAATAATTCAAAAAGGAAATGTGAAATGAAGGTGAATTTTTTTATCTATTATATTTTTGGGGGTGATACTGTCTTTGAAGCGTTAAGTTTACTATTAAAGGATATCTGTGGTATTTTAATTGTTTTTTTGTAAGACCAACTTTGACAGTTAGACTGAAGGGGTGTGATCAGTACAAGTTTGAAAATTTCAAGGGGCCTTAAGAGTTATTTTTAAAATGTGAAGATGTGTCGGTGTAATAAAACCAAATGTCAAGGGATGTGGGGTGAAATTTACGTGAAAATATATGGTCCTCAACTGGACAATCATTATATAATCCACGAAATCATAGATGAGGTTTTCAAGCCATAATATGTATCAAACAATGAGATATTAAGAAACATTAAAAAAAATTACATTGTTATTGATTTATTACGTCCCAAATAGAGTAGCAAATGCCCCTATTTCTTATTGATTTATTTTCATTATAAGACAACTTAGTTTTAATGACAAAGAAATAGATGGACTTACGATCAATGTGGAAGTGAGTGAGAAACCAATGAGAACAATCTCTTCTGAGATATTGAATGCGTCCTGCAAACACCATACAAACTAATCATGAAGCTTCCATCTTGAATTTTTGCATCTTGAATTTTTCCATTTAAAGAAAACAAAAGGAAAAGAAGCAAATAGAACTCAATAAGCATCATGATTAGAAATAAAAATCAAAAAGGAGTTCCAAAAAAGAGACAATACACTTGTAACACATGCGGAAAAAGGCAAACAAACAAGAGTATTTGCTAGTGCATTGATAAAAATCGCGTGTTAATAGCCGCAAGGTTGTGATTGTGAATATGAGGGCAACCACTTGTGCATATCATGCCAAAAGTTATGTTTGTCCCAGTCCACCCCCTGGTACCCTCAACTAAGAGTGTCATAACAAGATAAAGGTCTTTTTACAGAAAACGAAGAGAATGAAGAAGAGAATAACCCATCACTTATCCAGCAAAGCTGTAAAAGAGGGTAATATGTACAAAAAGGTTTCACAAATGTGTGATTTAATTGTCACATATAACTATTTTTTGATAGGAAACAAACTTCTTGTATAAAAAATAAAAAAAAAAATTATCAAGAATGTTGAATAAGGAATCCAACTACAACAGCAGTGAAAAGGAAAAAGAAAAAAGAAAAATTACAAAGAAAGAAAATAGGTAAAAAAATTATAAATCACATGAAGCTATCCATCCTGAAAGTATAGCAAAAAGTGGATTCCCTCTAAACTCCCGATTGAGTGGTCATTAACCTATTGAGTCGCAAATTGACGTAATTGAATTGGGGATTACATAAAGGTATTCTGGAAAAATCATATTTGGTGTGAGATTTTGTAACGAAATCCATTCCATTTCATTAATATATCAAAAAATTCACTTGTTGACCTTAGAATTCAAGTCTTTTTTTTTTTTTTAGGTTACAAAATATGAACTTGCCCTTGTGCTTCTTTTATAGAAAAACAATGGAGAAAATGAGATGTTAGGGTCACATTGCCCGTAATTTTAGCCAATTCGTGAAGACGTCGTGCAGTACATGAAATTCTTGGTAGTGTGGGTCCAGACAAAATTATGGCCTCTTCTAAGAGTTTGGTCATAATACCACTTCTAATAAACTTTCAAATGCTTATATGCAATTGACCCTTAACAACTCAGCAAATTTTCTCACTCATCAGGGGTTAAAATTTTATTTAAGTGTATTTTTCGGTCATTTAAAAAACAGAAACGTTTTAACTTATTTCGTAAACGTTTCAAACTATTTCGGTAACAAAATAAAATAAAAAAAATTTAAGAATTATTTTTTCAAAATATTGGTCGAAATACACCAAAATATCTTGAAATACGTTGAAATATTCCGAAACAATTGTGTAAATATATTGAAACATTATGAAACATTATGAAACACATCAAAGTATTAGAATTTCGATTTTATCACTGATTCGTTTCAGTCTTTTTACGAACGAAAACGTTTCGACTGTTTTGAAATGAAATTTTGATCTTTATCACTCAAGCAAACAACTTTTCTGTAAATTAGATAAAATTGTATATATCTGATCTTTTCTAATATTCACAATAACGGGAACCTTGTGCAGCAGATTGTGGACTCAACAGATTTAGAAACTGAATAAAACAAACCAAACAGCCATTAATTTACAATTAAGATAATGTACTGGTGACTCACACCTGAGTTATTATATTTATTTTTATTAAGATGTTGTTACCATCCTCCATACTCCTGACTAAATCCAGAGAGTAGGAGACAAAGCATCCATTTTAAACTTAGTCAAATTAAAGAAAATAATTAATGATTATTGCAAGGTCGGCTGTTATTATTGACTCAAGCAAATGTCCAGACAAAACCCTAGACCCCATTAGGGATTTGATATAATTGGAGATGTTTAGGGATGAAATTCCCTAATTGGGTAATTAGGGACAAATTTCAACTTAATCAATTGGAATGAAAGGAGGAAATAAACTTTAAGGTTAGATCAAGTGGTAACAGTGGTGAGGTGTAAACCAAAATGTCCTGAGTTCGAATATTGACATTCTTTGGAATTAGGTCACGAGAGAGATTTATCCCTCGTGAATACCCTGGCTCCAGCGTAA